CTACTGACCATTGAAATACCTTATATATGTCAGTATTTTGGCAATAAATGACAGAGGTAGGCTCCGAAGTCGGACTGCCTGTTCAAACCCTGGCTATGCTCCTTACTACCTATGTGACTTTGGGCAAGTTCTTTGCCTCTATTTCCCCAACTATTGAACAAGAATCATAATAGTACATATACTTCATAATTACCATGAGAATGAAAGGAGTTGCTATATGTAAGGCACTAAGAATTGTGCCTGGCACATATTAGGTACTCCATAATATATCAACTATTATTATCACTATATTTCAAAATGGCTCTCTCATCCGGAAACAGGAGAGAATTCTTTTATTGAACCACGTGTCATGATTGTGGGCTTAGAAAAGATGTCACTGGTCCTGTAGGAATTATGAGGCCTTTGATGGTTTACCCCAAGGTTCTGGCTTTGAATAAAAGAACCCACATTTCACAGCCTGGAGGTTGAGGAGAAGACCCCTATACTGTGCCCCAGGCCTCTCTCAAACTCATTCTCTAAAAAATCCAGGCAGACCTTGGTCACCTCCAAAAACTGATGAAAGACAGAAATCTCCCACTGGTGGCATTTTGTTTTTATTATTTTTTTTAAAGATTTTTTATTGGGGAATTGGGGGATGGGAACAGCCATGGGGAATTGGGGAAAGGGGAACATTCAAGTTGCTGTCTTTTTGTTCTTCAGTCTAGTTGTGGAGGACATTGCTTCGCTGGCCCAAGTTGGCACCATCATTGCACTCTTCCCGAGTGAGGCAGATCAGTCGCTGGCTTCTGGACAGCCAATCATGGCAGCTGCTGGCCACTCACGCTGGCTGCTGGCTATACACAGTAGCCCATGGCAACCCATTTCAGCAGGGGCTGCAGCCTAAGCCATCGCTGGCGACTCATGGCAGCCCAGCTCCAGGTCGAGCTGTTGTTCAGCATCTTAGCTGTAGAGGGCAGTGTCGCTGGCCCTCATATGTGGGATCGGAACCGGGGCCCTCTGGCGTCCCAAGCCAGCTCTTAACCACTGCGCCACTCAGCCGACCCCATTTTGTTTTTATCTTAACTGAAGAATTTTTCAGTGAAAATGGGGTTTATCTCTTGATTTTTGAAAACCATCCTTAAATAAAATATTGATTATCTAAACAATTGTACCAAATTTTGTGCACTATTAATATGAGATTAACATACTTCAATCGTACTTAAGGTATTATAGGACCAATAAAAAGGAACGGTGTATGATCTCTCATGATCCAGTAAAAATCATTCAAATATTGCAACAAGAGTGAGCTGAATGTTTCCCTGGCAAGAGCAAGGAATGAAGAGACACACACAAAAAAAAGTGAAGGGAAAATTTTTTTCTAATTAGTGGATTAAAAGTTAACGAGTTCAAATAAGCCCTTTAAAAGAACTGTCCCCGCCCCGCCCCCACACACCCCCTCCGATTTTGGGTTTTCTGCAAGCCGTAGGAGACAGTGCCACCTAGTGGCCATGAACTTTGCCCAGCTTGTAGGAAGGAGGGAGAAGGGCGGTGGTTCAGGGGCAAAACACACCAAAAGATTTGTTTCACGTTGTTGTGGTGTCGGTGCCACGGGGACGCCTGACCTCCTCCTCCATAAGGTAGCTCAGAGCCCGCTGAAGCTTCTTGCACAACGGGCTTCTGGTTTCTAGATTCTCAGAGGGAGGAATGGGAAATGATGTGTGATCTGGGGCTTGGCGGCAAGGAGCCAAGCTACTGATCTAAAGCAGTGGTTCTCAAACTCGGCTTTCACGTTCAAATCACCTGAAGAGCTTGAAAATCCTGATGCTCAGGCCTGCCCTACACCCATGAAGCGCTCTGGGGTGGGACCCAGGCATCAGTGAATTTTAAATCTCCTCAGGTGGCGCGAATGTGCAGCTGAGACCTGCAGCTCTCAGGGCAGCCGCCCTGGTTTCACCCCATGCTGACCTTAGAGAACCTTCAGTCTTAGAGCAAAATTCAGCAGAATGGCATGTATGTGTTCCTGGGCTGTGTTAGGGCTGTGATCTGAGGATGCTTCCTCAAGGTCAGAGAGGTCCCTGCAGGAGAGTCCATCCCCTCACTTTAAAAAAGAACAAGAGCTTTGTTGAGTAAACCAGGCTCCAGACCTAGTTCCATCATGGTGGGGTATTTCCCCCACACCAACAAACAATCTAACCAGACATGGCTTCAGATTCCACAGACTGACCCCCACACAACACACTTCAGATGTCACCTCAGGCTGTGCTTCTGACAGACTGTCGGCCACACATTGCAGGTTCCAACAACCCCCTCCAGCTCAGAATACCAATTGCAAATCCAGATTGTCACCAATACTTCTGACCAACTGGCTATAAATCAGAGGTTCCCATGACCACCTCCTTGGGTTTAATTAATTTGCTGGAACAGCTCACAGAACTCAGAGAAACATGTTACTTACTAGGTCACTGGTTTATTAAAAAAGGATATAACTCAGGAATAGCCAGATGGAAGAGATGCACAGGGCAAGGTATGTGGGAAGGGGCTCGGAGCATCCATGCTCTCTTCAAGTGTGCCACTCTCCCTCTGAATCTCCACCTGTTCATCATCCCGGAAGCTATCCAAACCCCATCCTCTTGGGTTTTTATGCAGGCTTTGTTACCTAGTCATGATTGATTAAATCATTGGCTATTGGCAGTTGATTGAACCTACAGCCCCTCTCCCCATCCCCAAGGTTAGGGGTGGGACTGAAAGTTCCAACCTCCAATCACATGGTTGGTTCCACTGGCAACCCCCATCTTTAGGTGTTTTACAGGAGTCATCTCATTAACATAACAGAAGACACCTTTTCCACTCTCAATACTTAGGAAATTCCAATAGTTTCAGTAGCTGTGAGCCAGGAATTGTGAACAAGATCAAATATATATGTGAAATATATTTTAGTCATTTGAATTACCAAATATATATTTCTTATAAATCACAATATCACATTGAGGTATAACTGACATGTGATAAACTGTACATATATAAAGTGTACAATTTGACGTTTTGATATAAAACTTGAAACCATCACCACAATCAAGATAAGGAAAATATTGGGCTGGCCGAGTGGCTCAGTTGGTTAAGAGTTGGCTTGGGAGCGTGAGCTCTGAGCAGAAGGGCCGCTAGTTTGGATCCCACATGGGGGCCAGTGACGCTGCGCCCTCTACAGCTAACATGGTGAACAACAGCTTGACCTGGAGCTGGGTTGCCGTGAGTGGCCGGCAGCCAGCGTGAGCAGCTGGCAGCCGTGGGAGCTGCTGTGAGCTGCCATGAGCGGCCGTCAGACCGCTGGCAACCGATTGCCTCAGTTGGGAAAAGCACAATGATCACAATACCAATATGGGCCAGTGACGCGACATCCTCCACAACTAGACTGAAGAACAAAAGCACAGCAACATGTCTGTTCCCCTTCCCCAATTCCCCAATAAAATCTTTAAAAAAAAAAAAAGATAAGGAAAATACTCAAGACTGAGCTGGAAGTATCCCGTTTTATACTCCTGTTTCACAACTGTTTAATACTCATTCTATGCCAGGCATTTGCTGGGTGAAAAGGAAACACAGGCTCACTGTGTACAACCTCTCCCCTGGGGGAACTGGTTACGGGACCCAGCTGGTACATGAAGGAGGAGACACTTCTATTTGACAGTGCTGCGGGGTGGAGAGGATTAGGAAAAACTGGTCAGAGGAGACGATGGTTTAGCTGATGTAGACAGATGAAGGTGTTTATTGGGCAGTTGAAGGAAAGGAGCATTTCAAGTGTAGGGAACAGCATGAGCAAAGAACAGTGGCATGAAGAGGCGGTATGTTTAGGGGGCAGCAGTGTGGCCAGAGTGCTAGCACACTTGGTGGGGGAATGTATGAGACAAAATGGGAGCAGTTGGTGACAACAGCTAGATAAGCCAGAAGAAGGCTGGCTTGATTCTATGAGCTTTATTCTCTCAGGGGAGAACCCCTGACAGCCTTAAGTGAGGAAGTGTCATGATCAGATTTGCATCTTAGAAAATTCATTCTGACTGTCCTCCAAGGTTGCAGGACCATCAGTTAGCAAACCTTTGCAAAGGTCCCAGTGTGCAGAGAAAAATGAATAATTAGCCATATTATATAAGGATCAAAAGCCACTTTGAATGCAAAGTCATTTTCATACACACTACATGCATGCATAGTTAGAGTATTATTTTTATTTACACAATAGCAGTGAAAGTCTCGGAAGAAAGGATGACGCTGTGATTCGTGAAGCCCAGAGTGTGTACGGCCCAGGGCCTTTGAGAAGCGATGGGAGCAGGCATGCTCTGGCACAGACGGGCGCCAGGGAGATGGGGCTCTTTAGAAAAGGGGTTCAAATAGCCTGCTTCTAGCCCTGAATCTAGCACCATCTTCAAATGTAAAGGCGGTAACATGCAGGTCAGAAATAAAGTCTGTAATGACAAGTTACAGTGCTCAGACAATATTGAGTTAAGGCTGCATTAATTTTGCTGCTGTTAACTGATTGGTTGTTGGCTAATGTCCTCACCGTGGACATTAATAGCTCATAAGAGTGTGTTTCTTTCTATTCTATGCATCACCTAGCCTTGAGACCACAAGAGTAAACACAAGTGGTATCAGTGAGGATGCTTTAAGCTGCAAAAGCAGAAACAACTACAGGCTTACCTCCTTTTATTTTGCTTCACTTTATTGCACTTCACAGATGTTGCATTTTTTTACATCTGAAGGCAAGACCCTCCACCAGCGATAAGATTAAGACTTGCTTTATTGTGGTGGTGGTACAGGCACGATCTCCCAGTTGAGCCTTATACTCAGACTGGCCTAACAGTAAAGTCCGGCGGCTTCAGGCATGGTCTAATCATATGCTGCAGCTCCATTTTTCCATGGTTCTCCAGTGGGTCATGGTTGCTATTGAAAGTGAGACTTGGCTGTTTTGTATATCACCAAAAGTCCTAAACACAAGGAAGGACACCATCTACCAAAGACGCTTTATTTGTTACCTTTCACAGTGAACAGTCAGGAGCAAATAATAACAACAATAAATAAAAGAAACTTGCAAAGGGGGGGGGACAAACATTAGACATATACAAGGACACCGTTAGCATTAAAGCAAGCCTGTGCTGGATGTGGCTGCCCCATTCCTGGGTGTGTGTGTGTTGTGGCCCCAGCTAAGCCTCTGTCATGGTGAAGCACCTCTGGACTCTGCATCAGCAGGCCGGACATCTGGATCCAGAGCACGAGCTCCCTCTCCCACCATCAGCCAGACAGGATGTCTGCAATTTCCAAGCTACTGCAAGTTCTTGCTCTGGGGTTTTTGTCTTCACACCTTTTCCTAGGCTCTGAGTCTTGGGTAGGGCATGGGTTAGAGGATGTGCCCGTTTGCTCGTCGAGGAGGGGCTTTGTGTGCCTTCTCCCATTCTCCTCTTCCAGCTTCCCTCTGCCTCTGGTCCTCCTGCTTCTGGTCATGATTTTTCCTCACATCCACTGGCATTTCAAAAACTCTAGAATGCACCCTATGGTGGACATTTTTGTCTAGGCCTTCTGATTAACATCAAAAAGGTCCTGTATTTCCAGTTACTCCTCCTGAAAAACCTGACAGACACGTCTTTTTTCTGTCTTTTTGTGTGAGACCCAGTCACAAGCTCCTAGAAATTCAAGGGCAATCAAATCGCTACAGTGGAGGGATAGGAGGACCTGAAAAGACGGGACCTCTTCCCATCCCCTGGGACCTCCACAGATGATGTATAAGGGTCTCCCAGAATGAGGTCACTGATCTGTAGGCTATCAACTCAAGAGCGACCGTCTCCCAGGAGTGAGCAATCTTGGGAGCTTTCCTCTAGATTGGACATGGTTACTGTTGCCTCACCAGAAAAAAACAAAACAAAACAAAAATTCCTCACCATTGTACTGATTGGAGAAAATCAACTGTCTTACAAGTACTACTACCATCTAAGTGCATTTAATTTCATAGGTACTTAATTAGCAAACAAGCTGTATTCATCGCAAACTTTCGCAAGCTTCCATTCAGAGAGGCTAGAGGTCAGATGGAAGAAAAACACCAAAGGCCAGAGCTTCACTGCTGCTCATTTCTCTATCAGTCTGTTAAACATGTAAAATAAAAGGCTGTATAATGGGTTGAGGGCCATGGATGATTCCAAATTTTTACCGTTCTAGACAAAAAGAGAGGAAGAGAGGGAAAAGAAAAACTTAGAAAAGTATTCCAACAGAAATGCATGAGAAAAATTTAGATTCATAAATTATTAACATTATTTTAATGGACACAATTTGAATACTGTTTATTTGAAAGATAAAATAAACTAACATAGATAAAGGATCTAACACAGGTTCTAATTTGAATAATAATTAACCTGTGTTAGATCCTTTATCTATGTTAGTTTATTTTATCTTTGTCCTAGGAGGCAGAATGCGTTTTGTCCATTTCATAGATAAGAAAACAAGCCCAGAGAAATCAAATAACTTGTCTGAGATCTCACAGCTAGTAACAGGAAGGGCAAGGCTTTGAACCCAGGTCTGTCTGACAAAATCCCGCACTTATTCTACCACTAAAGGGTTTTCTTGAAGTAGGGGCTCTATTGATAAGGGTGAAAGGAGGAGGTTTTTAATGAGTTTGTTGGGTTCACCTTCAGTAAATCCAACAGGACGTCCATTTTTTGCTATTGCTGGCCAGCCAGACTCTTGTGTGTGACTCAACATGGTGCACAGTGTACAAGTCATCACACCTTGGTACACACCGAACATTTAGAGCTTCATGACTAAAGGAAAGTTTATGTTGAAAGCTATGAGATTTCAAAATAAAATTAAGTCAGGTTTCCCCAGGGTGTTCAAAGTATGTTAAGATCCTTAAAGGGCAGTATGCTCACCCGAGCAGCCTGCAGGGGTGAAATGCACACACTGAGAGCTCAGAGCCTGTGCCTGCCTGCCCTCTTCAGCCCCCTCTACCATCCTCCCGTTTCCTCCTCCTCCTTTATCCTCTTTATGTTTCTACTCTTCTGGGTATGCCTCACCTGTCACCTCTCCTCCTTCTCCTGTCTCCCCCTTTCTTTCCTTTTTATTATTATTTTAAAGATTATTCCTCTCCTTGCCTTCTTTTTCCTGTCTCTTCTCTGGCCCCCGTCTCCCCCTCCTTCACTATCTCTCCTTCCGTCCATCTCAGTCCCCTTGTTATTCTTCCCCACGAGAATCACCTCTCATAGGCTTTCTCCTTTCAGCATGCCCTTTGGATCACACTGAGCAAATGCCAGCTACGATTGTCCAATACAAATCTAATGAGTACAAGCTAGTCTCTTTGACAGTCCTTCCATGGGAAATAAACGATTACTGGCCTAACTTGCCTTATGTCTTTTGAAATTGATCCAGTTGCCTTGAAGCCTGGCAGAGAGGAAAGGAGAGATTTGCCTTTACACGGCTGGCTGGAAAGAATCCACGGGACCATGTTTACATACAACAGTCCTCTCCAGGCCTGACCCATGTCCTAGGTCCTTAAACAGCCTGGGAATTATAACTCAGTCCCATGCAACCATTGCAGTCATACCCATAGAAGCTTGTATTTTCAAAGAACCTTAAAAGGTTCTAAGTTAAGCCTTTTTAAATTTTTATTTATTTATTATTTTTATAGCTGAGGAGATAGATGGCCAAGGAACTAAGTGATATAGCCAAAGTCACATAGACGGTCAGTGTTAGAGACCAAATAAGTGGTGGCTATTTACAATGGCAGGGAGCTTCTGATCTTTCTATTTTAATTAAAAAAAAAAAAAAGCCTGCAGAGGCAGCTGGGGCCTGGTGAAAATACATTAGCCAGGTCCCTACTCTGCCCTGCGTCATTTCATTCAGAAAAGGCAAAGCAAAACCCACTGGCTCACCTAGTAATCAGGGCGGGGCATGCCTCTCTGGTTTACATAGGGATTCTGCAGCTGATGGTCTCTGGAGAAGTTCGCCCTGACTTTAGGGAAGAGGCTCCCCTCTGCTCCTGGATTGATAAAGCCTGTTGTCTGCTGCTGCAGTCTTAGGTTTTGAAAGTCGTTCTCAATCAAGTTCTGTTCTTCATCATCCTTCTGTTTCTTTGATCTGTAATCAGTCACAGGAATTAGGATCTGACAATAGCAGAGAGTCCTTAAAGCAAATGTTAATATTCTTTTTTTTTTTAATGCTTTAAAATTTGGAAATATTCTCAAATTTACGTGAGAGTTGCCATAAAAATATCACACAGAGCTCTCATATATCCATCGCCCACATTCCCCAATTGTTAACATTTTTGAACCATTTAAGAATAAGTGGCAGACCTGATACCCCATTACCTCGTTCAGTATAGAGTTTCTAAGTTTAAGGAAAGTATTCTCACAAGCTCTGTGTAACCATCAAAACCAGAACCTTAACACTGATCCAACATTACCATCTGATTCCAATGGTCCCATGTCAATTTTGCTAATGATGTTCGTATTCTTCAGTGTGACTTTGAATTATTTATGGAAATAACAATAGAAGTCAAAGAAAAAAGATGATTTGTGATACAACTTTACATTCGAATAAAGTCAATATCTATAGAAGCACCCCTGAATGAAACAAGTTCAATGTATAAAGACCTTAAAAGGGGAAATACTAGGAGTTTCCCAGGTTCGGCTGTCACCTCTCAAGGGTAAGCATTGAAAGCAAGTGGAAATTTTTGCAGGTGAGGGAGGTATCTGTCCCCAATTCATTCTGTTCATGACCTTCTCCTTCCTTCTATCCCACAGGCCTGGACCTGCCCCTGCAGTGCCCTAGACTGTAGGAGTGGAGAGTGGGGTCAGATACTTCCATGATGCTCTCAGGGCACTCCCAGGGTGACAGTCTCTGAGCCTCTGTCACACTGGGAACATCTTAAAGGAAGGCTCACGTGCTCTGCAACCCTGATGGCCAGCCCAGACCAGCCTACAAGAGAATTCCTGCCCTTTGACAGCACTCCTGTCTAAGGTGACGGAGGTGAGACTTCCTTCCTCTGAAATAAACAAGAAATAATTCTTGGGCTGTTCCCAAGAACCATGAGCTATGAGCAAACACGGGTCTGCAGCAGGCAGGAGGAGCTGAGAGACGTGGCTGTCCCAGGGTCACAAGGTTCCCTAGCAGCCCCTGAGGAAATTGGAGACTCAGGACATTGAGCTAATCTAAGAAAGGAAGAGAGAGCCTTGCTCCACCATCAGGATGTTTTGGTCCTCTCCCTGGAAAAGGGAAAGACATCCCCACTTCCCAACTTGGTGTCCTTATAATTGCCTCTGGGCATTTTTTTTTTTAACAAAGGCAGAAACAAAATATTTCAGGCACCTAAAATCTATGTATCCTCTCACATTGTAGTGCAAAATACCCATTTTGCCCAAACATATGAGTTAAATGTTATTTTTAAGAAGTAACTTGTTTTTATCAAAGTGGACCCCCACTTGACACATTTAAAATAAAATAGATAATAGCATTCTTCCTCCCTTTTAACAGAGGGGACTTGAACGTATCTAAGTATTTGTTGTATAAATACTTATGTCCTTAAGAAGAGCACTTAAGGACCTTAGCAGAGCCAGTTCTACTTGAAATAGGGGCTCCAGTTGAGGTTGATTTTTTTTTTTACCACTTGCAGCAAGGTCTTGGGCAGGGGACTAACTTAATGAAAATGATATTTGACAACACCTGTGGAGTTAAACAGAATTTCTGATGAGATAAGAAAATGGTTGCTGTATCACCTTATAGTGTTAAACAAAAATAAACCTTAACAAATATTTTTTAAAACACAAAAGATACAAAATTAGGTATATAAGATCATTTTAGAAAATAGAGGAAAACCTGGAAGGATATATGCCAAAATGTCACCTCAGGGCAGTGGGTTTTGTGGGTGGTGTTTTATTCTGCTCCTTTACACATTTGTCTATTTTCCTGACTTTCTTCAATGAGTGTGCAGAGCTTATATAATCAGAAGAAAACTAAGGTAAGAAAAACAAGTCAGTGGCTTTAGAGAGGCCTCACCTTACTTTCCTTCTCTTGCCCTGGGAAAGGTTATGTGTGTTTGGAAACTAGAATGTCATGCTGGTGGCGCTGTGCCCCAAGACAGGGACACTTCCTTTCCATACCTCACTATGATCAACGCAATTGCCATGCCCAAAATGAGGACGCCAGCGATGGTGCCCACGATAACGAGGATCAGCTGAAATTCTGAAAGGGAAAAGAGAAAAGTAGAAACAGCCTCCCACAAGTAGGCCCCTACTGTCTACCGCATAGGGATGTGCATTCCCAGGGGTTCCTGGCTGTGAGAACAAACAGGCTTTCCTCTCTGACCCCTCCAGGGCAAGGTTGGGTGGGTGATTCACTTCTTTTAACCCTCTCTCCCCACCATCTTCAACCCCTAACTGTGTCTTCAAAACTCAGTCCGAAGAGGCAGCCTTGCCAGATAAAAGAGCACCATAAATGCAAAGAAGGCCACAGTGACAGGGCCATCCTGGACCTCGTGGGGGATGGGATCTCAACCGAGGTCCACAGCCCTTCCTGACCTCTGTGGCCTTTGCCTGCCCACTACACCCAACCTGATGATAAGCTGGGGGAACTAGGTTAGAGTTACCATATTTCCCCATGTATAAGGCGCACCTTGATTTTGGGGCCCGAAATTTGAAAAAAAATGTATTACATAAAGT